TGCAAACACTAATAATACAATGAGAAGCACACATGACTACCACTAGATTTATTCAATAGTCTAATTTCAGGAATAACCTCTACTTGAAAAATAGAATCATCAGTAATAAAACTATTCATAAATCTGCTACTGCCATGGTGTGCATCACCAGGCAGAGTACCTGGCATGGGGAATCAACACTCAAAAATCCGCTAGCAACTCAATCACTGACCAAGCTCCGGCAGGTTATGCCACCACTGTACTTCAGGTTCTTACCTATGAGTATAGGCATTTTCGTTTGTTTTTCTGAAATTAAGAATTTGGAATGATCAAGGCACTCTAATCTTGGGCATGAAGACCACCAGAAGGAACTGAAGAGATGGCCAGTGACGGTTAAGAGTACTTACTGTTCTTGCAGAGAACCCAGGTTCTGGTCCTACCGGGCAGTTTACAACCACCAGTTTACTCCAGTTCCAGGGCATGTGATGCCCTCTTTTGGCCTACATGGGCACCTGCATGCATGTGGTACACATAAACTCACATAGGCATACACATATACACACAAATAAAAAATACATACATCTTAAAAAATACATAAACACTATCAGAAGTGGGAGCTGGTGTACGTAGCTTGATTAGTAGAGTGGTGGCCTAGCATGCATGAAGAAGTGCTGAGTTCAATCCCCACCATCCCATAAATCTGGGCACAGTGGTACACATTTTTAATGCCACAAGTTGCAAGTTCAAATGTCCGGGGCTAATGAGACTATCTCAATTAAATAAATAAATGAAAAATTAAAGAGCATCATAAATAAGATGCTCCCACTTATGACAAAAGTCACATTCAGAAGTTAACTATCTTTCACTCTCCATATTAAGAGTCATTTGACTCTTATCAGAAACTTCCCTTCTAACCATCTATCAAAGATACTATGCCTGGAGTCATTAAATTGCCCACAATGCACACACAGTGATAGTAACTAAATGACAACTATTGCTCTCTGGTAAATGTGTGAATTCTGTTCTAGTCTTCAGATGGAGGTTAAGGTCATGTGGTTCTTGCTCTCTGACTTCTGATGTCCTGAATCGACAAGTGCTTGGTATATAGGTGTGCAGTACAATTGACTCATTAGACTTTCAGGAGGAAAAGACAGCCAATGGAGTCCATTCAGTGTACTACCTCAGAAAGCAAGGGAGGGATGGCAGGGCCACTGAGATCTACTGTTAAGAACATCACTCTGTCTCCACACAAGGTGGGAGTTAGGTTTTTCCAGGGCAGTTAGCTGTAATAAAGGAAGTACCTATATCACTTAGGTATCTTATCAGTGTACCATTTCATACCTTCCACAACACGCTTATAACATGTGTGCTCTCATGACTGAAAAGTACCCATCCAAATAGCTCACAGGCCTAAAACCCACTCATCCTGAAAGTTTTTATTAATGTTTTAGAAACTGGTCATTTTTGTAGTACTCACTACATAGCATTCCCTCTACAAACTAGCTAAAACAAGGTCCTTCTTTCCCTTTCGGGTTAGACCACTGAAATGAATACTGATTCCTAATTAAACCTCAGACTTAGGGGATATAGTAGTCCCATTTTTTCAAAGGACAGAGGGAGGCAACCTGAGAGCTTCTGCTAACTGCTAATGGGACTTCCCAGGGAATTACTGGAAAGTTAATCTAGATAGTTAAGGTTCCACAGTAAACTTCCCAAACATTTAAGAAGATGCATGAGCTCTACATTCTAAGGGGAGAGTAGAAGAAAGCTGTCTGTTTAAATGATAAGTACTTTAGTGAGTGAAGTAATGTCTTCTTTAAAACCTTTCTGTGACTATGTAAAATTCCATGCACAGAAAGACCATGGATCGCATTTGGAACGAGCGCCTAAGTGGAAGTACTACATCTTCAAAAGTTCATGACAGAAGGTGGTTAGATGGGACTCAAGGTTTCCCATCAGCTATTGTATTTCTTACCAACCTGACTTACAACTTCATTTTAGAGATCATGAACACTTAACATGTTAACCTAACGAGCTTATCTTGCACCTCTCTTTAGTTTTAAAGTAGGTCAAGATTGTGAAAAGTATCCAAACATGCAGTGAAGAAAACAAAGTACTTATGTTTTAGAAAGTGTATGTTCCACCTTTCCAAGGTGTTCTGTTTAGAAATCTGGGTGTGCAGTAATACAGTATCTGATAGCCCTGTCGAGTGCTATGGATGCCCAACTATGCTGATATACATCATCTAATGGGGTTCATCTAACAGTACTATGAAAGCAGAAGATCATAAGGTTCCAAGAGTAACTTTCTTGACCAAGGATGATAACTAAGGAAGTGAGAGAACTATCTCCCTTCCCATCCCTAGCCTGCTGCTATTTCTAAATGCTGGGCTGCCCTGGCCATTCCCCAGAGGCTACTCATTCTTTACACCTCTGCACAAGCCACAAAACACCAATCCCATACCTTTAAGTGTGGAACGTTGTACCAAAACATTTCCCTCAAAATCCCAGGCATGCACACTGAGTCTCTGATTGTATGTCTCAGAAGCCTTTACAGGTTGTGACTACTGTGGGCTTGTATGACACTTGCATACACAATGTAATTTGGCCAGAAAAGGAAAAGAAACAGTTTTCTCCTCCGCAAAAGCCCAGGAACCTTGTAACAAGCATCAGAATCTCTAAATCCATTCAATCCATCCACAGTGAGGTGATGACCAAAAAGCAGAAGAAAACTCAAAGTGTGAGGTAATGGGGTGGGACGTCCACCCAGATGACAGAAATGCAGTTAACTACTGAACGCATGTGCGTTGTGGGGTTCTCTTGATGTTTAATTTTTTTCTCTAAGAGTACTTGAGGCCAGGTGTGGTGGTGTATGCCTTTATTCCCAACACTCAAGAGGCAGAGGCACTGAGTTCCAGGCCAGCCAGTGAGAGACAGCAAGACTCTGTCTCAAAACAACAATGAAGAGTACTTGAAGGGGTTGAGAGAACTTGAAGAGGTATATTTTTTTTAACAGTACATCAAGTATCTGTGAATCTTAAAACTTAAGGGGGAAAAACTAAATTCTTTGACTCCAACATCTTGGTTTGCCTGTCAGTACTACAGGCCACAGAGAGATGCTTGCATACACAACAACTAAAGGTAGTTATCAATAACACCCATAGAGAATACAGGTCAAAGCAAAGTTGAGCCTTATAACAGGCCTGACTCTGATCTTTAGTAGCAAACATACCATATTATTTAAAGTCAGTGGAGTTCTTATCAGTAGTTTTCAACTGTGGGTACAAATTAGTAATAGAATCATAAAAAATAAAACAAAACAAAAGAACAATCCTGGTGTCCCAGGCCTGCTCCAGATATGTGAAGAAAAAACAAAACAAAACAAAAAACAGTAGCAACTACCTGGCCGGTGCTAGAACTCAACCAGAATTAAAAACCTTGGTCGAGCTGAGTGTGGTAGCAAATGCCTATAATCCTCGCTGAGGACTGAGGCTATGAGACTGACCTAGGGAGACCCTGTCTCCAGGGGCAAGTAAGGAAGGAAAGAAGAAGAGGAGGGGGAGGAAGAGGAGGAGCAGGAGAAGGAGAAGCAGCAGGAGGAGGAAGAATAAACAAATAAATAAATAAATAAATGTTCTGTTCTAGTGCTTTCTGGCCTGCTGCTTTATTACCCATTTCCAAATATGATGCCACCAAAATGTATTTTCATATTTTCCTATCAAAAAATTATTCCGAAAGCTAGAGATGGTTCAGTGGTTAAGAGCTCTGGCTGCGCTCTCAGAGGTCTTGAGTTCAATTTCTCAGCAACCACATGGCAGCTCACAGTTATCTAAAATGGGATCTGATGCCCTCTTCTGGCATACAGGTAAATATACAAAAAATACATAAATAAATAAATCTTTAGCTGGTGGTGGTGGCCAGCACTCAGGAGGCAGAGGCAGGCAGATCTCTGAGTTCGAGGCCAGCCTGGTCTACAGAGGAAGTTCCAGGATAACTAGGGCTACACAGAGAAATCCTGCCTCGGAAAACAAAACAAAACAAAAAACAAACAAACAAAAAACTTAGTCAGAGGACTAGACCTAAGTCACAATAGCCAAAAACACTAGACTTTTACAATTTGAATGAGTTATTATTTAGTTATAAGTAATTATTCTTAACTGCAGTTATATTACACCAAAGACTAGCCATACAAAAACGGGGGAAAAATCTATGTTTAATGCTCATTTCAGTGGCTTAAGTAATAGACAACATATAAAATTTTATCTTTATCTGCATAGTAGCTGGTCTTGCTAAATACTTGCTCTTTGGAATTTTCCCATAGCCATAAGAAGAAAAGGCAAATAGAGAAACCAGAAGTGCAAGGCACCCTGTTACACAGGTGTCTGAAGTCACTTGGACAGGGAGTTTCCGTGGCTCAGAGACAGAGGGTTTCTCAGAAGCATTACTGCAACCTTATTGCTCACTTCTTACTCAACACAGCACTACTAAAGAGGATGTTGCCACCTTCCCACCTTAACTGCCTAGTGCTGTTCCTGTGACAGCTGGAGTCACCAGAGATAAGTTTGGCCTCTGGAACAACTGAAATGCCAACTTACTTTATTTTTAAACTTCCTCTAAATGTTTCCATATTATCTGATTCTAAAAAATTTGCAAGAGATGCATATTAGTTAAAGGTAGAGAATGAGTAACTAAACCTGGTCCAAGTTATGCTTAAGCAGATCTGACTAGAAACAAGCTATACACACTTTCAGCACTTTAATGAAAATCTGCTCACATTTGAAGGGACTTACGTAGAACTTTTAAGAAAAAAAATGCGAGACGATCTAAAATGCATTCCATATACTAATTAGCCTAGGTGCCCAGCTGAGACATATCTCAGATTCCTGCTGCATGAGCATTCTGATCAACAGCTGCTTTAGTAAGGACAAGGAGCTATCAAGGGTAGAAAAGAATTTTGATTTTCTTTCCATTTCTAGATCAGAGAGCCATAAGCAAATACTCAGGGAAGTGGAAGAGACTTACATGATTTATCGTAGACTGGACAGCCTTAACGTAATGGCTTAGTTCTCGATCCATTTTAGCAAATTCAACCATGGCCCTGTCCATACTGTATTCACTACTCACTTCAGCTGAAAGAGAAAAAGAAGTTGTGATTATTATTGTTCACCTCAAATGCCACATCTGGAAAAAGTCCAAACAACATAATCATCCAAAGGGCTAATTTGTAAAAGTACTGCATTTTTCTTCAAAATCCCCTCAACAATCAGCTTTGCCTAGTTGTATGTCTCTCCCTTTCCAGAACTTTCCAGGGACTGGCAGTGATTTGGGGGAGGGGTTCTCTGCCTTTTTCATGTAACATCTTGCCGTTCTTTCCTAGTCTCTGTCCTCTTGTGGAACAAGACAAATTTCTATGCCTTCCCTAGCCTGCTGCATCTGACATAGACACAGATCAGTTATGTTACTATTACAAAAGAGGACTAAGAATTAAGAAAACACAGTGGACTGCAGAAACACTCCGTTCTGGGCTCTGGCCTCTCGCCGCCCTTCTGCAGCACACCAAGAGAAAGCACCATTCCAGCTTCATCTCCAGTTCTCAGGATCTCAGATAGTGCACTGTCTTCATCCCTTTTCAGTTCCCTCCCCTCAGGCTACACTGTTCTTCCCCAGTGGTTATCAGCTCCTCCAGACAGTCTCTGGGTTCTAGCCTCAGCTGAGGCTACCTGTAGGTTGGTCACACTTCCTTGCTTGGGCTTTGATGTCTACTACTGGGAGCAGACTGGAGAAGGAAAAGAGACCCACCACCCAGAAGATATGGATTGCCACTGGATCCCACAACATATATTTCCACCATCAAATTTCCCCCACTAGGGGCTAGAGAGATGGCTCAGACATGCTGAGTACATACAGCTCTTACAGTGGATCTGAGTTCAGTTCCCAGCTCTCACAACTGCCTGTAACTCCAGCTTCATCTGATACCCTGTCTGGCTTCCTTGGGTACTTGCACTCACATGCACATAAGCTCTCCTTCCCCTCAACACCCTACGCCATATATACATAATTAAAAATAAAATACATCTTTTAAAAATTGTCCCACTTAGCCAGGTATGGTGGCACATGTAGGTAAGCCCAGCACTCAGGAAGATGAGGACACAGCATGCACTCACGCACACACATACATATTTTCACAAAGCCCTTCCTAAGTGTCCCCATCAAACTTCATCTGCACATCCTTCAAGAGTTGAGCTCAAATCCCATCTGTTCTGAAATTATACCAACCTAGAAGAAACTATTTGCTTAATTTAACACCTACACTTCATATTTTGGCACCATAAGTAATTGTGCCTTTCTTATCCCCATTTTTCTCATTTTTCCAAGGACAAGAATGGTGTGTTAGTGTTCCTGAGACCTAACAAAAAGTTGCAGAATTCATCTTTCTTCTATACTTCCTAAATCTGGAAATTTCCTACCTGATATTCTATTGAATTAAAAGAAAGAAAAACATATGTTATATACTCATTTGTCTATTCTATTTTCTGTGTGATTTCCTTTCCATCAGAAAAAAATGAATACACCAATACTGGGTGGGGATGGAAGGCAGACTCACACAAAGATGTCAAAATTCTTAGAAAGATAATCCAAGAGAGGAGAGATTAATTGTACCCCTACCTGCAGGACTGCCACTAGAGAGGCTGGGCAGGTGACAAAGTATGGAAACAGACCACATACTTACAGCGACAGAACAGCTGTAAGTATGACAGAACAGTGAACGAACGCCTCCTTACGAACCGGCACTATATACCGGCAAACTGTACTTGTCACACCTTCCAGCAGCGCTCAAACAGGTGGCCGGTTGTTCCGTTGTTGTTGTTTTGATTTTTCAATACGAGGGATTAAACTCAGAGCCTCACACTTATGAGACAAGAATTCTATCACTGAGCTACAGCCCTGGCCCTTTTAAATTGCCCAGACTGGTCCTGAATTCAATCTGTAGCCCAAATGGGCCTTGAACTAGGGATCTTCCTGCCTTGGACCCCAGCATATTACAGGCCCATACTACCAGACCCATCAAAGAGATGGGTAGTTTTTACTTGCCTTTTATGCAGAAGAAAGCTAAAATAACTTGTTCAAAGTTATTGGTACCAAGCAGGAGAACCGAACTTCCAAATCAGGCTCTCTAATGGCAAAACATAGATGCTACTCTCTTGAACAAAACAGAAATTTAATATGAGAAAGACTCCAGCTCCTTTACAAGGATTTAAGACAACCTGTGAGCTTCAGTTCAGTTTCCAGCCAGTCCCTTAGCACAGTATTAAGTAGGTCACTGGGAAATTGACTCAGAGGCTTAGTGGTCCTGATCCTGGAAGGCTCTTTCTAAATTCCTCAAATAGAAAAAGTGGATAAGAAAAAGGATGCTTCCCCTGGGGTTAGAAGTCCACTAAGTTTTAACATGGGGAAAGTATCTTCCCATCCTCACAGGTAGTTTGAAGGGCTACGACAACACACAAGTCACCCACTGAATGGAGACCGCCAGCCAAGTGCAGCCATTCGGAAGTCCGGGATGCACTAGTCCAAGAGCACCTGCAACAAGCACACAGAGAGAAGAAGCTGCTAAAATCACCTGCCAGGTGACAAAAAGAATCCAGAGAAATGGTCAGGGGGAACTAGACTCCTACAAAGAAACCAGTGCAGAGGCGCTTCTAAGCAGCACTCACAGTTAGAAATAATTTTTATTACCCATATACCTAATTGCTCTCCTCTGACCAAACATGGCCTGGGAAGGCTGGGAATATTGAAACTTCTTCAATATGTCATCCTATGAACAATTATGCATTAGACTCAGCCCTTTCTTTCAGTAACTCAATGAACCTACATGAAATACATGCACATTGACTTCCAAGCCAATGTACACATTGAGAAGCCTCGTGGGGAGAACTCAAGGCCTCTGGGAAACCTGTCACCTGGCACATTAATTAAGAAATTGTTCCAAGAAGTTAGGACAATAACTAGCTGAAATATGTCCCCCCACCTCCACCCCAGCAAGCCAAGTCCAGAGGGCACAGATAATCCCTGCTTTGCATTATAAAACCATAGCTGTCTGTAAGTAGGCCAGCATCAGGTTGTTCTATAAATCTACCCAACAATGCTGCTCTGTGCTATTCCTAACACCATGCAGAACGACTACAGCCTGTACTACCTAATACCAAGCGTGACTCGGTAAAGAAAGAGTCGCAAAACAACCATCCCTGGGAGACAGTTTCTGTTTTGTTTGTTTGTTTTCCTACTCAGGGGCAAACTCCAGGAAAACAAAGAATAATATAATCACTGGAAGAGGGCTCCATTTGAGATTGAAATACTCTGATGCTTACATAATTGGAGAAGTCTCTAAGTGGATGAAGCTGGCCTGCTTATAGTTTTTCTGAAGTCAGACAAACCTATAATTATGCAATCTCAGCAGCCACGCTATTCATTAGACACGTCATCTGTTACTCAATGTTAAAATGCACCAACAGCAATAACTATTACTATTCTCTGCTTTGAAGCGCTGAAAAAGCATTGAAGCAGAAATGGGTGACTTAGTGCTAGAATGAATCCCAACTTCAAACAAAATTCATGAGACTTTAATGAGAGGAAGATGATGGCTGAGGCAGGAACAATTATGGAAGTATGAAGGTCAAACAGTAGCCCTCGATGCCAGTTGTCCTGAATGTGGAAGGCCAGAGCAGAAGAAGGGACAGCTGACAGGAGAGGAGACGAGTAAGCTGCTTTTATGGAGCTGGACTCTCAAGGAGGAATGACTCCAGGTTGTGGCTAAAACTGTAGGTGGTAAGCATGGCAATATGGTGTCCTTATGACAGCGGGGGAGCATGAGATTTTCTTTCCCATTCAGTTCCAACACTGTCTAGGTTTGAGTCACACCTATTTGCTCAGTATAATTTTCTAGGCCACAGGTTGAAAAGCAGCAGCAGATGGGGGAAGCAGTTCTTTATGGTGGTATGTCTGCGTCCACCTGGTTATGATCAATAGACCAACCCAAGTGCCATTCCAGACCAGCAACCAGGTTAGTGAGGGGAAATGGTAAGTGACCCAGTTCTGGACCAACTGTTCTAAATAGGGCCTTCCCTAACCACAGGCGTGCTGTGGCTGCAGCCCAAGGTATGCACTGGAGAAGAATACACTTCCCTGAGGCCTAGCTCTGAGGGTTTGGGAAGTCAAGCTGAAAGTCATTCATGAACTCTAAGTCTTCACTAGTACTAGAAACAAACATCAAAGTCTAGGCTTGCCCTCCTTGTCTCTCCAAGCAACCATACACAGGGACCACTGCACCTCACTACACCTCACATGTCTGTTTGATATGCCCTAGTGAAATCTCTCTATGACCTCAGCTATAAGGTCTTTTCCCAGACATCTGTCCACTGTCCAGAATAGGTCCAAATATCCCATCCCTTATCAATCCATAAACCTCTTTACCTTTACAAGTAGGACATGTGTGCGCACACACTAGGGAGGCACACCCTCAAAACAAATGTCACCTACTTATTCTTTCCACCCGCATATCTGATTCACTTGAGCAGCTCTGTCCATGGCTAAGCTTTTTTCTCAAATTTTGTCCTAAACATAAAAATAAAAACCGTGGGATCAGGTTAATTTTTTTATTCTACGAAGCTGCACATAAGCATGTCTGAACAGAAACACACCAATTACATGTAGTTGTTTAAGTTCAACACCATGTATTTTATTAGTGAATTACCAAGCTAAGACAAAGCAGACATTTAGTGTTGCTAAGGATTGCTGCCTATGAGTCAACATGACTCACACACTCAGAAGAATCTGATAAACATTAAATGTCATAAACTACATATACCATTTTGGCAAGAGAGAAGGAAGGCAGCAAGGGGTTGTCTGACTTTATTTTACATTTCTTAGAATAAATGGCACATGAAGCCAGAAGATTTTATTTTCTGAAAATTGGGAATAAGTACTTCCAGATCCTTCAAATGAGAACTCGATTCTTTGATATTTTATTCAAAAAGCATCTACTCTTTTTTTTCTTGAGAAATGCAAACAGATGACAATATAAACCATGCCCTGAACTTCTCCCTGTCAAAATCAAAACCAAAACACTACTTCT